TAATGCGCCACATGTGTCTGCCAGGGCTGCAACGGAGCCCCCAACCCGATTCCACCAGTGCCACCGATTCCACCGTTTCAATCCCAGTCCCGAGCCACCCACCCAGCCGATCCGGCTCTGCCTCGAGTGCAGTTTTCTCTGCCATTCTAATGGAATTTTCCTCATGACTTAATTCAAACAATAAATGCGCTCAATTGAATGCAATTTTCATTCGGCGTTTCGCTTTTTCCCTCAAAAATTTGTAAAGGATATCCACATCCACATCCACATCCACATCCATGGCCACATCCTGCCCAGAGCGTTCCCCGAGAGTCCTGTTAGCTGTGGTTACACACACCACTGATAAAGCCACTTGAGTGCAGCCCAGCCCGGTACAGCCCGCCCGGAAGGACTCGGAATTGTGGGTCTCGCAACACTTTTTCGATGACGTTTGCAAGTTTTTTTCTCATCCTCGTTCCAGCTGTGCGTATGTGTGTGTGTGTGTGTCCTTTGTGGGTTCTTTCCGTTTGCTTTGCTCTCTTAATAAACGTATACAATTTGTTAATTTGTACAGGATCAAACATGAAAGTCGTCTACTGCTGCCGCTGCTGCTGCATCCTGGTAATTAGTTCCTCCGGCAAAGCTCCCAAAAAGCTAATTAGATTTTGGTCCAGGCAAAAGAAGATTTCATTAAATGCATTCGTTAAATGAATTTCGTGGCGGCAAAAAAAGGCTTAAATGGCGTAGATTTATAGGATAATAAGGAAGAGAAAGAGGCGGTGGGAGTGGGAAAGAGCTTAGAACAAGGTGGAGACAATCAAAGTGTTGCCAGTGTTGGTAGCCATTCATGAGTGGGCGGAAATTCAGTCTTCGATGGGAAGGACAAGAGCTGATGACACGTTTCTGAATAGAGATGGAAGTGCCCTGCCTTATATACATAGCAGGTAGCTTGTTCAGAGGATGTTCTATAGAAGAAGGAGAGAGACTGTTGGGAAACATTCAGGTTTCAAGGAAATGGTTCACCGCAGGAGCATCAAAAATCGACCGAAGGGCGCTGCTGCAAAACCAGTGTTGGTGGGTAACTATATTATCTACTGAATTTTCATTTAGGAATAAGTTTTCAATAATTAATGATTTTTTCCATATTTTAAAGAGGAACAGTTTTCGAACAGACCCACCATTCGATCGTTTTTTGTTCTTTTTTTTTTATTCCCTGACACCTAATTTAAGTTTTAGGCTAATACTTTTGGGGATATATCATTTGAAGCCCTATAAAATCACTGATTTTTAACATTTGAATTTGATAAGCCCAGAACTACATACAAATGTGCTCGTACGGTTTCGATTCCACTCAATTAGAACTCAAAAACCCAAAAAACAGTTGCAAAATTTAAAATCGTAGTCAAATGAGCAGCAACAACAAATAAATCTAACCAACAAACAACAACAAAAAAAAAAATAAAAAAAAAAATCAGAGCTCCATTAATTAAATTAAAATCCACTTAGAAGCTCATTAAATGCAAATCTCAGCGGGTGAAATTTAATATGGAAAAAACGCACACACACAGGCACCGAAAAAGAGGGAAAACAATTCTAACCACAAAAACGCATTAAATGATTTGCGTAATTTACACAAAAAAACAAAAAGGGAAAAACAAACAAAACAAAACCGAAATAAAAGGGGAAATGGGAGGGCAGGACCAGGACCAGGACAGGGCATGGCATGGAAAACCGTAACCGCATGTTAATTAAAAATCAAACTAATTTCCTAATTGCAAAGCTTACCAATCATTAAACACCAAAACGGGGGACGCAAAAAAAAAATCAACGAAAATTCCTTTGATTTATTTGCAATGGCCGAGGGGTTACGTTACGCAAACAGAGAGCTGGAGGGGGTCGGGGTCGAGGACGGGGACGACGGACCATTTGACCAATTGTCACACGATTAAACAGACAAATTTGAAAATAATTTTTCATTAAATGCAATGCAAATCAAATGGAAAGCCAATCTGTGGCAGCGGCATATGCCACAGACGGGGAAAGAGGTGGCGCGAGGGGTGGGGCAACAGTGCATTAATCCTGTTACATGTCCATGTTCCGTGGCAGCTTTATGAGAAGGATACTGTGGTGTGATCTGAGCACCCCCCCCCCCCCCCTTGTTTTTTGCAAACGTTTGGTCTAGGGTATGGCGGGGGGTATGCCGGGTTTTGTAGGGGTTTTTTATCACTCCAGGAATAATCTTTCGTATTCGTTTGTATCAAGGGGTACCACCGATTCCACACGAATATGTTTCACTCCGTTTTTGGGCTTAATTAAAATCCGCTGGGCAATGTGTTCCTTCCCCTTCCCCTTCCCCTTCCCCTTTCACCAGCCGCACCTTGCAGCACAAAAAAGCGAATTTACATATCCCAAGCTGATGCCAAAACACACACAAAAAACATATATATATATATAGAGTATTTGTGCAACATATGGTAATGGAAACAACAAAACAAAAAACACACACACACACACACCCAACATTTGGACTCAATAAATTTCAATTTATTTGCGTATATCATTTATTTTGCGTAATTTTGAGCTTAATTTCAAGCGCAAAAAGAGTTCGTTTCGCCAGTCCGTGAGTGGATGGGGAGGGGGGCTGGGGGGGGGTTAGGTCTTTTAGAGGGTTTACGTGGAAAACCCTCATAAATCAATTAGGACGCCGTGCCAGATTTTGGCAGCCAATTTTTGGTTTTGCGGCTTATTTGCTGTGCATAATTTTTTTTGGTTTTTTTCTATTCTTTTTTTTTTTGTTGTGTGTGTGTAAAATTTATTTTGACATTTTGCGGTGCCGAATTGGGGTTACGGTTTTCGGTTTTGGGTTTTGGGTTTTGGCTTTTGCTCAGGTGTTATATAAAATGTGTCCCTGTGTCCCTGTGTCCATATGAGCGGAGTGCGTATGTGTCGCTGCTGTGATATGATTAATTGCCCGTTTGAAGCTGATTTATGAAGTGCTCTCCGGCCTAAGCCAGTCCAGGGGGGAGGGGGGGCGACGAAGCCGGACCAAGTGGTGGCCAGGCAATTAGAATAATGGATGATGAGCCCGGCCCTGCAAAAGGGGGGGGGGGGGGGGCTAAGGACTACAGTCTGGAGTACAGTTTGCTGATTGCCCCATCTATCTTCGCATAAAGAACCCTGAACCCTTGTGGTCGTTCCAGAGATTATAGAACTATGGATGCCACAAGGACATCTCAAACTCCAGACTATACTGATAATTGCCATAGAAGTAGTAGCGCCTCCGCCCTTGCCCCTGAAAGCCCCTTGGCTCTTGGCTCTTGGCTCTTCTACCCCTTTGGCTGTGGCTTCTGCAAGTGAAATGTTTACACAGTCGCCACTGAGCGCGGTCGGCCCAAAGGCCCAGGACCTTGCAAAAACAAAAACCCCAAGCTAAAGCCAAAAAGTTTCCCGGAAAAACACAAAAAAAAAAACCTCTAACCAAACAAATGCTGGCGGCAGCAGCATCCCGCGATACGGGATACGGGATACGGGATAAGGGAACCGGAACTCGCGACTTCTTCACGGAGCAATCAAGCGTATGAGCAATTTTTCGTGGCAATTAAAACAAAGTCTCTGCGGCACACGTAAAGGATTTGCGGGCGAGAATCCTTTTCTGGGCGGTAAATTGCTCTCAGAAGCGGAATCAGCAACAGCTTTCACAATGCTCTCTACCCCTCGATATTTCCTCGCTATTTCCTCGCTTCTGTGTGGGAGAGTTTTTCTTGAATTAACTCGACAGCCGACGGCAATGGCAGAGTTTTTGGTAGTGAATGCCGGCGACAAGAACAATAAACAGAGAAATTTCCACAGCAGTTGCCAACGGGCGACTGGTTGATACCCTGGAAGAAGGGAATACCCTCTTCGAACCTATGGAAATCGTAGTTTTGGTGTCCCCTGACCAATACGCCTTGCCTCCTGCTGGGTAGCATAATTGCCCACTCCCTGCGGTACGCTCCTGTGCCTCTCTCAAGGAAAGTTAAACAAATGTAATAATTGTTCGAACAAACTTTTGTGCAAACACTGGCGGCAGGCGGTCGACTGGGCCGCGGCTCGGCATAGATTCGGGCAATTTGCTGTTCGGTTTCTGTTCAGTTCCGTTAATGTTTGTCCTCGCTGGCACTGTTGGCACTATTTTTTAGGATGGCTGTGATTGTTTCTACTTCTGAATCCGCTGCCAATTCGGGCTTTGTTTGGGACGTGGCGCGTGTCCTGCTAATGCGCCCGGGGGTGTCAAAGTCATTCCCATTCCCGATTCCCATTCCCAATTCCCATTCTCAGCTTTACGCGGCTGTCTCTCAATGGGTTCTATTATTTTTGTGTGATTCGATTTTGATTTTTGACGAATTTGTGTTAGTTTTTTGTTGTTGTACTCCTTCGGCGTGTGTCTGTGTAAATGTTTCGCAATTGTTTGTTGGCATTTGTGCGTGCGCCTCACGCACTCTATGGAGTACTTTCAAGAGTCCGTCCGTCCGCCCTGTCAACCCTGGCCTGGTGCGTGAACGAGCTGAGGATGAACTGAGGAGCAACTCCAGCCATAGACACGTTTTCCATTTAGGTTTATGCAATTTTTCAATTGTAAATTACAAAATGAAGTCATTTGAAAAACGTTTTCAAGGGTTTGATGGAGGGGTTCCATACTCCATACTCCATATATCCTCTGTTCCTATGAGAAGGGTGATCGGCTGATCTCAAGTGGCTTAAAGGCGGGCGTGGCTCTGGTGGCTTTCTAATGGTAGTTTATGTGCGTCATAATAATGGGTTTAATTTGACAGAAGCGAATGAGGTAGCAAGAGGCGAATGGGAGTAGAACACAACAGAAGAAAGGAAATAGAAATACAATCAAATGACAGCAAATTGACATTTAAGAAGGAACCCAGCGAATTGAACGAATTTACCAAAGAAAAATGTAGTACAAACCATAATTTAAATAAAGTTAAATAAACCAAACACTCAACTGTTTTAATAATGCTGTTTGTTTTTACCTTTTGTTGCGTTGTTGTTGTTTTCCCTCACGCAACGATGATATTTTCGCATTAGTCGCGCGCGGGGAACAATGTACCGAGGGGGGAACAGAAGCTTTGATAAATATGTGCATACCCGCACTAGACCGACGCTTTGATGACCGAGACCCGGGTGGGAACTGAGAGAACTGTGATTAGAGCAGCAGCAGCAGCAGCTTTCAAGCTCTGCTTAGAAATCGGACGTCGTTTCTGCTCGTCTCATCACAGCAACGAACGAAAGCAAAAGTGTAGGTGTAGATCATCCGCCTTCGTTTCTGCACGAATTCGAACGAAAGCGAGAGTGTGTGGCCACGTTACGAAAGAGGTGCTCGGTTTTGGTTTCTCCTCGTCTTCCCCACCCCGCCACTCAACAAAGCAAGAGCATAAGTATGTATGCAGCTGTGTAGATCACAGAGTTGACGTAGGTCAGGGTCTCTCTCACTCTCGTTTTCATTCGCTGTTGGCGCGCTGCCAAGTTAACATTAACATGCCGCTGTAACAACATCTGCAAATTTGTGCGCTCCTCTGTTAGCTAACTGTTAAATCTGCAGAGATCTTAATTGTGTGTTTTGCGATTTGCCCTGCCTTGGTATCTGCAGATATGTTTGAATTATTTCAAAAGACAACTCCCAAGAGATCCCAACTTGATTAGCCACACCCACACCCATGCCATCCAAGCACACACACACACACACACAAACGCAAATATTTAGACCGCCCCTTTAAGAGTCCCACTCCATTCAGACACTTACCAAAGCGTTGATGAGTGAAAACAGCCGTTAATGTGCTTTCAACGAAAGAAAAACCGAAAATCAAATCATGCTTTTGGGCTTAGGTTGGGTTAAAAAAGAGAATATACATAAACTATGGCACAAAACCCAACAAATGCTTCCACCTATCCACCCGAGGCGGATTCCACCCCCTTCGGCCCGAAGAGCAGCACTTCACAAAAAGCGAACACAGAGTGAGAGAGTGAGAGAGAGGGAGAGAGAAAAAAAAATCAAATGTTGTAGACAACGACGGCGGCAAGGAACACGTGTCCGTCCTGCTCGGGGAAGCTTACAAGGACGACACGTGACCGCCATCATGTTTGCTTACATTCACGACTGACTTGACTGACGTACAGTCCGTATGTATGATGAGTAAATGACGATGATGAACACCCGGACTATGATTATGACGATTATGCTGATGACTGTGGCGATCAATCAAGGTCCAATCGACAATGCAAAACACAGTTGGAAATCAGTTACGTTTGCCACTGTACGTAGGTGGTACAGTTGCCACCACTGACCACTCACATGCTCACGCTCACTCTCATTCGAAACAGTGTTTGGCCATAAATTTACAGCTTCAATTTGGCAAATGCATCGGCATCGGCATCGGTATCGGCATCGGCATCGCCGTTGACTGTAATTAAAATTGCATTCGCATCTAATTAATTGGTATGCAAAAACCAAAACCAAAGCGTGGATGGAGAGACGGAGAGACGGAGAGCCAGAGACTAGTTGGAGAAATTGCAAAATGCAAATTGCAAATCATCGTCAGAGCCACATCGAATGCAATTTATATACCCCGTCTACCCCTCTACCTCAACCCCATCCACGCCGTCCCCCCCGCCCTTGAGGGGTTTGTGTTGGTGTCGAGTGCGACAGGGTTGACCATGCAATTAAAGGCAAAGAGGCATTTAAAACGCCTCAGGGACGCACAGACACGGATAGCAACGGACAAAATCCGTTGGCTTACAGCGATTCCAAGTCACGGATTGCAAGGATTTCCAGCCTCCGACTACGAATCTGCATCCTGCAGCCTGCATGTGTCGACGTCGCGACACCTTCAGCCTTCAGCCTTCAGCCTGCAGTCTGCAACCCTTCCACTGGTCCGGCTTTCCGTCTGTCACCTCCTTAGTCCTCACACCCTGCCATGACTGCCATGACTGCCAGAACTGCCAGGACTCAGCCAGGACCCTGCCATCGGTTGGGCCTTTGTGCGACTGCATTGTGCTTTTGGCCGGCCCCATGACATGATTGGCTTTTAACGCTCAAATAAGCTTAATTGAATTTCTTTTCATTTGCTAACAAAGTTTCTGGCACTGGACTGACTGGGATTTGTTAATTAAAAGCGAATTAGGCGTCAGAAAGAGCTTTTGTTCGGGGCCCAGGAGCAGCACATAGATCTATCGGTCTATCGGTACAGGTAACGGAGCGAATCCATGGTTTTGGGGCCGTACAGGGCCGGCTTTGGGTTGAAACTAGGCGCCCTTCGATACTTATACTTTTCTCTTGGAATGAACCAACTAAATTTTGAATATAATCATGTTTTTAGTATATAAATTACCACAAACTTATTGAATTTATCTATAGAGTTGCAATCGCGATGGCAATTTTCGATGGATAAGACAGAGTTTAAGAGTTTAATCGAAGTGAGAGAAGTTAGTGACAGAGAAACCCAGCCGAAACAGTTTTCAAAAATCCAAGGCCCTATATCTTTTCAACCAGTATCCCTCAGCCCCACACCATTATTCCAGCCATGCATTTGTTCCTTCCTTTTGGCCTTCTGGCGTGAAGATTGCCTGCTCATCTCAATAACTGGTGGAAATAAAGAACGGACGTTGGCCAAAGCACTCCCGCCACTCTAGGGCCGGCCCTGGGCTTATACGAACGAAAGGATTGCATCCAACTCTCAATCGTTTCCTATGGAAGGTGCTTTAATCTTTGGCGACGCGCATAAGTAGGTCCCAAGAAAGCCAAATTAAAGTACAAACGGTGGCCACGGGGGCGAGGCATGGCTGCAACGAAAATTGAAACCCACAAGGGGGTACGAGTAGTACTTGCCACGAGTCGCTGGTCACTGGTCGCGCCTAGGCACATCGCTATAGGCCTGCATGTATCTCCGTTGAACATATCACAGAACGCAATTAGTAATCGAAACCCAGGATCCATGCCCCCCCCACCCCTTTTAATTATAGTAATATTTGCATTTAATTAGAAACGAGGTCAACCAACTATAAATATTAAATTACGCGCAAGCTGCAAATTAATGAAATTCGACTAATAAAATTATGTTTAATCAAATGCAAAAAAAAAACACACAAAAAAAGATACAAACGGCAAACTGTACATTCTACAGCTGCTGCCATGGCAGCCGTGGCTATGAAATGTCAAAGTAAATGTCCCTCGGCCCCTGACCGCATTGTGTGTCCATCAAAAGGATATCGGGCCGGGCATACGGGAACTATCAAAATTAATGGGGCTCGTTCCACGGCTCGACCGCAGAAAACAAAAAAAAAATATCGCCTATATGTATAAAGGAAATAAAATTTAAATACCTGAAAAAAAAAAACGCGAAAATTGCCGGGCAACTGCAGTGACATTTTAGCTATCAAAAATGTATTTGCATATAAATTAACGATGGCCCAAAAATGCACCTTTTTTTTAATAATGCAATTTAAACATATTTTATTTGCATTTATTAATGGGGCTAAAGTCGGAGAGCCGAAAACAAAAACAACAACATCAAAGTGAAGTGTTTTTTTTTTTTTGGCCTGGGGTACGGTTCTGCGATTGGGCCGGACCCTGATTCCGGGCTAGCTGTTTTTGCATTATTATCCTTTATTTCTCTCACGTGTGTTTTTTTTTTTGCACTCTTGCGGACTGTTACAAAATGTGTTTTTTACAGCATTACCATAAAAATTGTAAAAAGTCGAAACCGAAAGAATATTGTTTTTTATCCTGACCACGTCAAAACATGTGACGGGTATTAAAAAAGCAACGAAAACAGACACAAGCCGACACATGGCAGGGACATTGACTCTCCGGGTCCGGGTCCGGGTCCGGGTCCGGGTCCGGGCCTGGGTCCGGCTTTGGCTTTGGCTTTAAGCGGCTTCGATTCTCATTTCCAATCCCGAACAACACTTTTCCCGCAAATCATGTACGAAAATTGATGAGGGAAAATGTTCGTGATTTCGTCACATTCTCTCTGTGGGGGTGTCGATTGGGTGCCGTGTCCGGGTCCAGGTCCGCGTACGGGTCCGGGTTTCAAAGGATTTTTCATAGCCAGCGGCTACTTATCATAAAAAAAGCAAAAACAGAACACAGCCCCGAACATAATGCAAACCTTGTCAAGTCATGTGTGTGGGTGGTTCGGTGGTTCCTCTGTGGGCGGGTGGGTGGCTGTGTGTCCCAGCCATAATTGAGTTGTAGCCGGCGAGAAAACCAAAAAAAAAAAGAGTCTTAAAAACACGATCTCATTCCCACCAACCCTTTGTGGTTGGCCGTCCTTTGTTCATCGAAGAAAAGGCGACTGGGGTCCATTGGCTGTGAGATCTGGCAGGTCCTTGCTGGCCGCACGGCTCCATTTGGGTGCGAAAAAGAGCATTCCCCAGTGCCCGTTAGCGAACGGAAGTCCTCGCTTTACCTTCTTGTTTTTATCATATTTTTATATCGGCAACTTTTATGTTGATTCGCTTTTCGCACCCATGCGACATGATTGTGATTGTGTGCGAGGTTCTGTTCGGTTATTATTGAAAATTGGGCAAATTGTATAAACGCACATATGCGTGAAATTCGAATTCTGGAGAGGGTGAGAGGGTGAGAGGGTGACAGGATCTCCGTTGAAAGGGTTGCAAGTTGCAGGGGAAACTAATTCAATTTACAAGTGATTTGTCCAGCCACACACACACACACACACACACACACACACACACACACACACGCACGCACAAAACCGATTTAGTTTTTGGGCCTTGGGTCCTTTGGTCCTTTGGTTCCCGGTTCCCCGATCCCTTGACCAATGACAAAATTCTCACAAATTTATGCAAATCCCATTTAAATTGTTTGCATTGCAATTTCAATTTAGAAACAAAATAAAACCATAGCACAATGATTGCCCAGCCACTACCTCCACAAATGACGGCAATTTATTTAAATTTTTTGCAACAATCATTTGTGCCACACCCCCGCCCTGGTCCCTGCCCTGCCTGCCTGCCGCAGTCTTTCAAGTAATTTTGGCACTTTTGGCAGGTCCATTAACAGAAATCCATCAACAAAATTGCCAGGGAAATATCATTGGGCCGCTGCGGTCCTGCGGTCCCGCCGCCGCTTGTCATTTCAACG